ACTTGTTAGCACGCCGTCATCATTTATCCATATCAGACGAGCTGGCTCTGCCATTTAAACTTGGAACGAGGTAGTAGATATTACGGTTGGATTCGGTGAAATAGAATTCTGATATTTGTGTGCGATTACCGTTCTCCTGCGCTGCGAAAGCGCGAAAGGCACCGCACGAACTGAGCCAGTAGAAAACACACGGATTCCAGCCAACCCATGCATGGCTCGGGCTTCGCTCCTATCGTCGTGATCGTGTCATTGAATTGGTCAATATCATGCATACTTCCTTCACAACCATTTTTAAATTGAGCAAAATGCTCCATCGTTGTCGCTGAGATTCATAATTCGCACGCTTTGGTACAAATGCCCGGTCCAACATGAAGGTGGGCTAATTTCACATCCAACGTAGCGGCGAGCCATTTGCTCGCGCCAGGCTCGACCTCACCCGGATAAGGGCCCTAAAACTCCCTCTTTTGCTCCTGCTTTCACAAGGATGTGAGGTCAGAGTTTTGTTACTAAAAAATGCTAAAAATATTCCAGTACGGTAAACATAAAAATATTTCGTGACGGAGGGCCTGTATCAAATTTCATAAAATTCGAACTCAACAGGCTAAATTTTTTCACAGCAACTCAATAGCTGCTGCGTGATCACTGAATGATACGGCAGATCAGTGTCGAGAAGACCCGCTCAATTCCAGAAGCTCACTTCGTTCGCGCGGGATTGGACCCGCAATTGCCTACGCGACAGTTTGCTGGTTTGTTAACGACATCCGAAAATGGATGTGTGATGTCCGTTCGTGCAAAAAAAAACATCTAGATTGGACACGGACGCCTGGTATCGCCGAGTACCTCAGGCGAGCAACGACAACGCCGATCTCCAAAGTCACAAATTTTGCATTGTCGATGTAGCATGGACGCCACAGTACGATAGGTCTGGCTGGGCACAAGATGGCAACATTGCCATTTTGTGGCTTGTTCTCGGCATTCGACGCACGAAACGATCGTCAAGCGAAACAATGAGCGCAACAATTCCGTCTTTATATACTCTATTTTACAAGTTGCGGCACAGACCAGGTCTGCTGATTGCACCACAAATTGGATGGTGCCTAGAACCGTCCATCCAATATACGTCGCCGCTCAATCGTTATCGACCGAGTCCGCCAGCTTCTCCGTGGGTAAATACGTGAATGGCTTGGTGGGCCGTTGAGTACGAATTCCAACCATGCCATGACTGGAATGCGAAGCATGCAGGAATGTACCTGGAATCTTGCAAAGCTCGTGAATCCATTCAAACGCGTGTGGGAAAAAGACAACAAACTCGTCCTTGTCGAAGCGTGAGGGCGGACAACGTGGCAAGCACGCGAAAGAAGTCGCCAGCGTACGTTCGAGCCGCCACATGTCGACTTTTGAAAGCACCCACAATGGGAAAAATATCGCCAACGAGTTGGTGACGATCAGCCCCCGCGTTTGCCTACACAAACCCAAAGTCATGGCATCCTCGATGCAATCAAAATCAGGTACGACGTGGCATACCTTGAAGCTTTCTCGCAAGACGAATGGGAGATTTTGTTGGCCAATATTGAGTTCATGCAGCTGCGTTTGCCATGGCAAATTTGCGCGACAACAGGCAAGTTGCTTCGCGACTCTTTAAGCTCGTGTCGCTCAAGCATATCTGCAAAAATGGCGTGCTCGGTGTCGGTGTCCATGTCAAACGCTTCCGACAATACATCATGGTCGTGGGTGGATGTGGCCCGACGCGGGATCTTGATGGAGCTGTTCAAAGGCAGCTGGGCCCAACTTTCGTTAGATCAAGGCAAGCTGAACCGTCATAAAATCCATGCGAGTTTACCAGCGCATTGATTGTCGAGAGTACCGAACCAAGTGTTGGAACGTAATGCTCGTCGTGCGTGAAAAAATCCGTGGACGTCGGTGGAGCAATTGTTGGCAGTGCGCCAAGACGTGGAGCAATCGTGAAAGGGAGAGTCATCGCTTTGGCTTTCTTTCCCGGAGTGGCTTGTCGTCGATGCCGTTCGAGCCAGCCCGACGGTCGCCGTCGAGTAAACTAGGTCCATTCGACAAGGCAATCGAGTCCGCCAGGCATGGAGACGAGAGGTGTCGAGTTGAAAGTTGCAATCGTTGTCTTCGACGTGTCCAGTTCAGTTGAAAAATGTGCAAATCGTCGCACGTCTTGGTGCGTGATCCCTCCGCGACACAGTTCAACCCCCCCTACCTGCACGTCGCAGTAAAATGAAACCCATCTACCACAACAGGACGACGTTTACATTTACAAGTCAACATCGTGGTACACACCTCCCCAAGTACTCTGCGTCCCGTCATCAACGCGCTCTTGGCACGTGGATGTCTTCGCAAGGCACGCACGACCGTCGTTGTTTGAGGAATGACATTGTACAGCGCAAGCGACTCGCCGCCGCAACTTGCAAGCCACCCACTACATGCCAAGAATCCGAGCCGCGGCCAGGGTCATCCAAATGCAGGCTGACGACATGGTCGACACGCAAGGAAGCCGCTACATGCAAAAGAATGCACACATTTGGAGCACGTGCGCTGCACCGTTTGATCTACAGGGGCGACGTCAACACAAACCGGGGGAACCTACCTGGAGCCCGTAATGTTGGCAGCAGTGACGGCAGCGACGGTAGTTGCCCCAGTCGACGTGCCACCTTGTGCCGTTTACACGAGCTTTGAATACGACGTGTTGCGTGTAAGCAAATTCCGCAAGCCATGGTGCGCTGCGCGGGGGTGACGATGGCATGCTTGTTCAAGTCGAATTTTAAATGCATTTAAAATAGAACCCGCGACATCCACGACGATATTTTAAATGTGGTTTGCACATGCCACGCCGCGGTGACAAAGAGAGACCGAACGCTGGCGAGGGTGATCTGCGTCGACGTGTGTGCGCGCCGACAACCGCTTGCTTTGCATTGGGTTGGGTGCGTTGCCGCAAACGACGGGGGCCCCGGGCCGAACCGCCCCTTGGAACAAACCTGGCGCGTTATGCGCACGTGCCTGCCGTGGCCGTGCGCAGCCAGTGCCGACTTGTTTGCCTTGTTTCAGGGCATCGCGAGTTCTTGCCGCTGTGCACGTAATGCGATTCCATGTGTGTGTTTAGCCCCATCTGGTCCCCATCGTGGTGGGACCATTTTTAGCGAGTCGAGTAAACATCCCGCCATGTGTTGATGCAATCGATGAGTCTCCGTCCTGATGCGGGTGGTCTGAGTCTCTCGCGAGCCGCGTCCGTCGGCATCAACAACAGGGCATGGCTGTGATAGCGCGTGGACGATATCGCGGCGTCGTGGCGGTTCGGTCGCCTGTGCATGAATAAACATCGCGCATCGTCAGCGACGACACGACCTGCTGACTCGAACGAATACATGGCGGCGCGGTATCGTCGGCCGGACGAATGCGGCGGCATGGTCGCGCGCACCGTCGTTTTTACTCGTGTCGCGGCATGGCTCTGGCACGGTGCGTTTGTACTGCTCCTTTGCCTTCGAACAACAAGATCGTCGAATCCTGCTGCGTGGATGACATGCCACCACGATATGTCTCGAGCGCGATTCCTAAAACCAACATGTCGTTTGAATGGCCTCGACTTGGCGGCGAAAGAGGTCAGGCGGAAGCCGCCGAATTTTCCAGCGCCACCATCTGGACGTGTGTGACGCGGAGAGCACCCACGGCCTCGCCCGCCGAAGCGCGGTGGGACCCCCATGGGCACCCCAACGTGGCATCCGCTATGCAGCGCCGTGTGCGCGCTGTCGGCGGAAAAATGTACAGTCGGAGCGAGCATGCATCGAGTGATCCTTGGATTTCGTGCCGAAGTTGTTTGGGGTTTTCCTGTCTCTTGGCCTCCATCTTCCGTCGGCGCATGTGGTCGCGTACTTAATGTTCTGGCCGACGTTCCATATTCAGCGCGAGACCGCGTCGAGTCCACCACGCGTGGCAGACGAACGGACGATGCGTTCTAGCGGATGGTCGACGAGCCGCATCGGACATGCCTGCGTCGTTGGCGAGCCGCCGCCGCCGCCGACGATCGTGCACATTCCGTTATGCTGTCGTCGACCGTAACGTAATCGCGACGCGATGGGACGGCGCAAGATGACTCGAAAGGGGCGAATCGACCACCCGAGTCTTGGCGCCGAGTGTCGCCGGTCCAAGCAAACTCGTCGTCGCCCGGTCTCGGGTTTTGCCGTTCAATGTCGTTGTCAAGAAAAAGCCCACGGCCATGTGCCCGACAAACCTCGACGGCAAGTTTGTCGTTTGGGGGACGCAGGGTGGGACGAAACCCAAGCGAAGATGGGGGAAGGAGCGCGGGGGACGTGCTGAATGGTTTGCGGCGCCACGTCAAAGACATGAGGCGGACCTTGACACATCGTTCGTGTGGTTCCATGCGTCACATGTCGGGTCTTTGGGATTCGACGCAAGAGAGAGGTGCGGGGGGGGAGTGCGGCGGGTCTGCGTATTCCAAATACTCGACTCTTGCGTTTTAGGCCACGTCGGCGTGCGATGCGTTGGGTCGGTAGCTGTGTTGTCGCCCAGCGTTGTTGAACACGGGGGCGACGTCTGCGCTACTACTACCTGGAGCATCTATCGCGATGTAACCACGGCATCAACGTCCCGGAGGCGACACACTGGCTTACCGCGTCTGAAAAAAAATAGGGTCACGTGGTGAAAATTCCCTTTGGATAAAAAGCAGGGGCATCGCTCTTGGACGCGGGTTCAGTCGAGCCGCCATGTCCAAGTCCGAGGCACCGGCCACACAATATGGATGGATATCACACTGCCGCCAAGTTTCAGCATTGATGCGTCTGGCGCATCGTTTGCACGGGTGGAGTGCGCTGTGACTTGATACAAAATTCAACCATCCTTGATGCAGCAACGTCGTGCGTGGTACGAGTGAAATGCATCTCTTCACGTCGTGTGCGCGCACATAAATTGTAGCATCTCACACGATGGAGGAATCGCCAGCATGCGCGTCTTACGACCTCGGTCGCTCGTATGCTGCGTTTTAAGGGGAAGCTAAAAGGAAGCGTGATGCCATTTGGTCCCTGGAACAAATTGCCTCGTGGGCCAGCGCGCTACATGACTGCTTTCACTTGGCCAAACGAAATACGACGGCACATTTTTCAGAGCGACCGATGCACCGCAACCCAACGGGTGCACCGCACCAGTCTAGCACTTGCTGACGTCGCGGCATACAGGTGTCTCTAATTTTTCGTACCATCCATGGCCGTGGCGGTGTAGTTTGCCAGGGTTGCGTTCGCCGTCGTTGGTCATCGTTCATGCTGCTTGTAGCCACCAAAGGTCGTTCGCATCACACGTGAAAATTGTGATTTCTCATGCACTTGTTCTCGAAATGGTGGGAAATCGGCACAAATTTTCCCTCGAGCATGCTGAAAAAATTCTTACTCCACAGATCCCTCGTCGGCCCTCGAGGCTGTGGCGTGCGGAACCAAACCAACACGTTGGTCTCTCTCTCTACCTTGGACCTCTCCAGTTTGGTAACCACAAAAGAGTGCTACCAACGGATCGTCCTTTGCGTGCGTATATCGCTAGGGCAGTGTCGCCGTCGGGGTTTCGTTGCCCTTGAGGCTTGCGTCGATGCAGGTCGACATATTCTCGTTTCGCCTGGCTACCAAACTGCGAAAATTCACAATCATCAGGGCATCCAGCGTTCGTGATGAGCGCACGTGCCTCGCAGCTCGACAAGTCTCCAAAACGAATGATAGCGTTGTTTCAGTGGATGCACGGTGACGATACCGATGAATACCGCATGCGGTACACGCGCCGTTCCGTGGTGTTTCCATGACGGGACCTCGGTGTGCACAAGACATGCCCGGCTCAATGGCATGGATTTTCCCGTAGATTGTGGTCGGTGGGACGGATGGTTTCTCCACGTAGAGGTCGTGGCCTGGGTGATTCGTTTTAACTTGTAGTGCACGAATTATTGCGCATGATAAGGCTTGCCATCTTCACGCCGACAAACGCATGTTGGGCATTGGGCCAAGGTCCATTGCAGGGACCGTCGACTTGAAAAGGTCGTGACAACTCTGACTTGCACCGCGCTCATTTTTTCTAGTGCATGCTTGGATACCAACTTGACGGTCGCCGTGGAAAATCGTGGAAAAGATCGGAAAATTGGTGCAGATTTATGTCAGTGCACATGCGGCGGCACAAGGCACACATCATCCAACCACTCCGACTACACACTGGACCAGCACCTTCGAGTGATCCAGCGCATTTGGATCAGCGCCAACGTTTTTATTTTTCGTCGACGTGCGTGGGACGGTGTCGCCTTTTGTGAATTGGGTCTATGGAATTGTGCACGATGCAATATTTGATTTTCGTCGAGGCGGCGCTTGCTCATGAAAATGTATCATGGTCGCAAATGATAAACGTCATGTCGAGGCCACGTCGGGACGGCACGGGCGTGAAACGAATGCAAATGTGTCACATGAACGGACGATGGCAGAGCTCGGGATGCGACGGACACATGGCGCGAATTGTTTTTCCCGTCACATCCAAGCGAAGGAAGATCGTGGATGTGAAAAGCACGCGGCGGCGCAAAAGCCTGCTGCACCCATGGTCTTTTCAAACAAATACGTGGATTTTGGTGGCATCATCCACAAATGCACGCGAAAGACATCGGTTCCATTCCACAACAAACTACCCCCATCCTCGGCGAACAAGCCGATCTTTTGTGGAGACATGCCACTGCTTCAACAGCCATGGCGACGGGCAACATCAACAAGCTCGATGCAATTCTGGTTTACGTTTTGTCGAGTCTCGCACTTCGTATAGGGAGTCGAGGGCGACTGCTGCTGGGTCAAATCTCGACATGACACGAAAGGGCAATTATGCACTCGATAGATGCACGGGCACGCGATAAAAATTCAATCGCAAGAAGGGCTCGCACGCCGCCTCGCCGACTGTTTTTGAATCATCACTGCAGAGCAAGTCGTCTTATTCAGACAGTCGACGTTGAACGTTCTTGAGACGGTCTCGATGTCCAAGGGGCGCTTGGCCTGGGACGTGGATGATACACTGCTGCATGAACGCCGACATAGGTTGCTCACGTGCCCGTCTACTCGTGGGTGTCAACGGCATAACTCAATCAACGTCGTCCTGCGCCAAATTTATTGGAGCCACCAGCCGCTGCCGATCGCACGATGCCTTCTCGACGTGTGCGAGGCGTTGCACGAGTTGTCGCAAAACTCGCCGCAGCAAAGGAACCTCCGAATTGAGTCAAGCCTCGCCCGACATCACAAGCAAGCACGTGAACCCTTTCATCGGCCAGCACGCAAGCAGTTTGACGTTGAGAATGGCTCGACCATTCGAGGACGCGATTGCGTCGTCGAGACTCCACCATACGGCCCTTGAACAACGGATGGTTGCCGCCTCGATGGCCAGGACGACGGGCGCGGGCTCGTTCTCCGACGGCGGAACGTTGAATTTAGCAATGTGATGTGACGAGGTCGTCGCTCGAGAGCCATGGACACACGATCGACGTGTCGGTCGTGAACGAAAAAATGCGCTGTGGCGACGAAAAGTGGGGAAAACTTTCCCCACGTCGTTCGCGCCGTCGACGCGACCTGTTCATTTCCAGCGGTCGGTTGCATGTTCTTGTTTGGCACGTGGTCGTGCGGCACCAGAACGCGTCCGTGCGTGCGGTCAAATGCACGGCAGGGGATTCCTACGAGCAAGGGAAAAACATAACGCATGTAGCTGCGCCGGCACTGTTCCCACCCGTAAAATCATGCACCACAGTGCGAGATCGCGTCCGTCAGTCCAAAATTATATCCTTGCGTCGTCGAGATAACTTGGTCCATGCTCGGGTCATCTCCGATATTCCCTGGCACTTCTCACTCGATGGAAATCTCCGTCGGCCCCTTTATCTCGAAAAAACCCGTGGGCTGTCGTCTTGTTGAAACGGGACCTTCGCGACGGTCTTCCAACAACGCGAATCATCTCGTGGCAGATTTTAGACAGCCAGGGGAGCCCAGTGGCACATGCCACAGCATGCCGACGCGAGGGGGTGCTGGCTCGCCAATGCGCGCCGGGAATCAACATCATGACAAGCTCAATTCGGGTGTGCAGGGTTCTTGGTTCACGGTGGCCTATCACCACGCTACCTCTGGTGCGAGATTCGAAATTCCAATGGACAAGGACAACGCAGAGTCGACTCTTCTCGACACAAACACCACTCGAGCACATGCAAACAAAATTGATCTCAATATGGCAGCACAACGTGAGGCCATGATTCGCAAGGCGCCCGAGGCATTCCGCACATGCCCTGAGGAGGCGTGCGCCATCGAGCGAACGTGGAGTTTCCCATATGCACAAGAAAACTGCTCTTTTTGTTACACGGCAGTGCACACACACACACACAACACCACTGCAGGTACCTACGTGTGTGGTTTCATCGAGCCAAGGGCTCCACGGACCGCATCGACGTGCGCGAATTTTCATGGACCTCCCCG